AGAAAATTCAGTAATATAACCTTCAAGGTCAAGGTCATTAAAGAGCCCAAGCAAATTTGGGTTTGATAAACAACAAGGTCTGGTCCTTAAGAATGTTCTGTTATAATATGAAGTTTATCCCTTCAAAAATAGCAAAGTTACAGTCAGTTACCGCCAAAACAATGAAAATTTCAATAATTTGACCTTCAAAGACAATGTCATTAATGAGTGAAGGTCAAGGTCTTTCGGTATATTTTTAACAGTTATCTTTGAAGATTATTATGTTTAAGTTTGAAGACAATCCATTCAAAAATAACAAAGTTACAGCCAATAATAGCCAAAAAAATGAAAATTTCAATAATTTGACCTTCAAAGTCAAGGTCATTGATGAGTGAATGTCAAGGTCTGACTGGTTATTTTTAAGGGATATCCTTGAAGATTATTATGTTCAAGTTTCAAGACAATCCATTCAAAAATAACAAAGTTACAGCCAATAACAGCATGAACAAGCAAAAATTGGACTTTTAACCTTGAAGGTCAAGGTCATTTATGGATGAAGGTCAAGGTTAGTGTGGTCTACTGAAAGGTCTTGTCCCAAGGGTTGTTGTGGCCAAGTATGAAGACAATACACCAAGAAATAAAAAAGTTATGATCCAGGTACAAGTTTTCGGACGGCAACGGCAACGCCGACCTGACTATAACAATACCTCTACTTTTTTTTTCAAAAAAAAAAAAAGTCGAGCTAAAAATGGTATAAATGCTCACATGCTGAATAGAGCATTGTTAATAAACAAGTTCAACATGTATAATATATAGAATGACAACTTAATGTTAAAGTTGAAAATTTCTATACCTAACTATTAACTAAGGCCATCCTTAAAAAATTGTTTGTTTGTAGTGCTCCGACCCTATGTTCAAGAGGTTGGTAGGTAGGTAGGGGATTTTTTTTTTTTTTTTTTTGAAATTGTTACAAAATTGGAGCATACTGAGTATAGCAATACACAGTATATAGCCTCCCATGATATACTGTGCATTGTATTTAGACAAATTAAAATATGTAGGCAAATGTATTTCTGTTGATATTTTCTTTGTTTAATATTTCAAATGATAACAGACATACAATGTAACACTTTTGTTGTTGTTTATTTTGCATCTGTTTCATCTCTAAACAAAATAATTGAACTTGTTCCTTATTTACTGACATTAACAATGTCTGGAAAAAGGTGACAATACCTTTAATAAAACAAGTGGTATGAGAAAAATATATACAATATGATTACTTGACAGATCTAGCCCTTTGAGAAAATAGAACAGAATTAGTCTCAATACCAGTATTTCAGTGTTATTTGAAAATGCAATTTACACTGCAAGTATAGGTGTTTTGTTTGTAAAATCAATGATTACCACCTTTTTTGATGACCACCTAAGATTTCATTTACTGGTCCTGACTTGTCAGATACTAAATGCACAAAGAAGGGAGGGGTGTAGCAAATCCATTTTTCTCATTACTATTGAATAAAAGGAATTTATCCTGCAAATAATATTAATCTGGTTAGAATATAATTATTTTGAAATTAAATGACTAACAGCAGAATTTTTTTAGCTCTTTTTTTGTTATTGTTTGTTTTTGTTTGTTTGTTTTTTTCTTTTTTGTTTGTTTGTTTTTTTGTTAAATTTTAGGGGTACACTTGAAAATTTAGATTACCTTGCCACTTAACCAACAAACCATGTTAATTAACTCCATTCACTAGCCAGCATAATAATAGATCATTATGTATGTTACACCTGTCACACAGTCGTGTGTACTTACCATATATGGCAGTGTAGTATGTAGAAAAATCTACGTCACCTGCTGTATACATGTATAGTGTGTAATCAACAGGTCCTGGAGCCTGGAGTTTGTTTTGAAAGTTTGATTAAAGAGAGCAACAATTAATAAACCCATTTGGGTGTTTAAAAGGGAATATAGTACGGACAATTACAAAGGAGAAAAAAGGAACAAAAACAAAAGAAAGAATAAACAGTGCATGATTGCATCAAAGATTAAAAAATATGGCTATAAAATTACAATTTAGGAAAAGGTAAAATTAATGAATAATTATCATTCTTATAAAGAAATCACAGGTATAACTTATTTAAAAGTATCGGAAAAGACCCATTAATTTCCAGCGATTTCCCGCGAAAATTTTATCAATTAACTTGTTTTTTCAACAAGTTTTAGTGTAACCTCATTTTCTGACAGTCATGAATGGCAAAATGATTTAAATTAATTTATGTCAACAATAAAGTTTTTCTGGTATTATTTTGTGTAAAAATGTATGTATACAGTGGTGGCCTATGGTTACGGAGGGTAATCTTTTTTTAACATTCATTGATGTATGTATTTTATCTTTGAAGCAAGGTTGCAATCTTTTTTTTTTTTTCATTTTTATACCATAAAAAATCAAATTGTATTCAAGTTAGATATGTTAACTCATGTAAAATCATGTAATAAAAAAAATTCATGAGGGTACCATTTCTGTCCATTTTCACATAACAAAGTGGCAATATTTTTTCAACTTTTATATAAAAAATAAATCGAATTTTAGTCTGGTTTAATATGTCCAGACAAAAACTTTATATTTGTAAAAATATCGTGAAGAGGGCATCATTTCCATAAACTGTACCGTGTACGTATATATATGCAGCATTTAGTGGAATGAATAGGAAAATCGAGTACAGCTTCACACAGTGTGTAAGAGATTCATCCGATCGGCAATTATTTTAGCTAATATCTTCGAAAGGGAATTGACTTTTATAAGATTTAATGTTAAATAATTAACAAAAGAACAATTCATCCACATGTTTGGCTTGGAAACTGAGAATTTTTATGCCCTTTGCGAAATTTTAAGGTTTCTGGCGAATGTGAAATCGCCGATGTTCGGGGTCGAAGTTTGGCAAAATATCGATGAAAAGCCTGCGTTTATTTTGGTTTTGGAATAAAATTCTTTTACTTTTCTACTTCTCAGTTCAAAATTTGTCTGAAAAGTTATTGGAGAAAGATCTTTTTAACAGAATGGGTATATAATGATCTCAAAAAAAAAAAAAAAAAAAAAAAATATCCTCGAAGGTGTAAAAAATTTTTAGAGTCGGGGCCATTTTCATGGGTCGGTCGGAGCACTACAAACAAACAATTTTTTATGGATGGCCTAATTGATGCAAAGTCATGTTTACTTAGAGTTTAAGGAATAAAAAAAAAAGAATGGTTAAAATTTTACCTTAAAAAATACCAATACATTAATGATGAAAGAACAATTGAGGTAATAATTTATTTCTTTAATAATAATAAATCTTACAGTATCAATTTCTTTCAGCTTCATATCTTTCTTCTCTATTGTCCTCTGAGCAGCCTCCTTTTTACTTTCGTATAATCTTGTACCTGCAGCCTCCTCTATCATTGATAATATCTAGGAAAAGAAATACAAGTGCACATACAGATTTTCAGGATGTCTGGAAGACTCAGAAACTCAAGGCTCTCTGGACCATTACACAAAATTTCAATAGTCAACCTTAGATAAAAATCATTTTCTCAACTTTCAGAGCTGTGCAATGCTTGAATTAAACACTTATTTATAGAACATAAGTCATTCAATTATAGACCCTCTTGCACCGCAATTTGCTAATCATATTTTCAGAACATTTCTTTGGATAAACCTGCCATAGATAATGATGTAATAAGTTGATATTCATTAATTAGGGTATATATTGGTTGATAAGAACTGATGACAGCAACACGAAGATTTCATTAAGTTCCTACTGCATCCATTCATGTAAGGGATAAAAAAGAATTATTTTTATAGGGGAAAAAGATTGACTTTGTCATCAAAGTTCTAAACAAATTTAAATTACAATTTAAAGTTAGGGTTTGAAATTGAAAACTAGTTTATCTTACCTCTGGTGGCTTCATGTTGAGTACTTTGGTAATTCTACCCTGCATGATAAGGAAGTGAGGATTGTTAACATTAAGTTGGACAGATCTGAACAGATCTTGAACTCTTGTATTGTTGGCATTACTTCCATTGATGAGGTACTTGTTTCTTCCCCCAACAACCACCTGTAAATAATTCATGACTTTAACTTAATTCATGTAATTTCCTAGGAGTCTGACGATGTATATTTTCTTTGAACATGAAGGTTATCTGCTTATTATGTCAATTAACTTCTTTGGTAAATGTATTCAAAGAATCAATCAGTTAATGCAACAACAGAAAAATACATTTTGACCAGATTTAAGTAAAACATGTCTTCAAGTAAACATATCACAAATCTTGTTGTAACTTTACTTAAAGAAAAGAACATGCATTTATGAAGTTAAATTTTCTGTACTCAATGTGACAATCTGTATATTACTTTTGCATACTGCATGCAGACAGAGTATGAACTTCAGGACAATTTATGTTACTTCTTATGGAGTGTTTTGAAGCTTCAGTCTGGTTGCCTAATGGTGATGCTTAAATCCTGTGTCACAGGGTGAGAAAAATGTGTAGCCTGACCGGGACTTGAATCCGGGACTGTCGGAATACTGTACCCCAACCCTACAGACTGAGCTATCCGGCCGCTTACACATCTTCTCCCCTATATAGTAAACAGTTCTGAACCGTGACATACTCCCCTGCTATATTGAAATTCGTCCTAAAATTTCACAGAGTTACAGAGCAATTTGAATTATACCCTAAGCTGTATTCAGTCACGGTCCCACATTGGGCGCCAAATGTAACAGGGTGAGAAAAATGTGCAGCCTGACCTTGACTCGAACCCGGGATCGTCGGAATACCGTACCACGACCCTACCAACTCAGCTATCTGGCCGCTTACACATCTTCTCCCCTATATAGTGAACAGTTCTGAACTGTGACATCTTTATACAATCTCAAACATTGAAGTTTCTTCTATACCTGTCTTGTAATGGTGATTTCATCATACTGCTCATAACCCAATGGACTTTGTTTTTTGTCGAGATTGTCGAATGTAATGCTCACAGTAGCTTTTGTGATTCCAGCCTGCCCATTCTTGTACACAAGCTCTTGTAGGTTTGTAGCACGAACCTGTAATAATAAAATGATGAAATATCAATGGTTACCATTAATCCTTAAAATTTAGGAACTTTTAACAGACAGTAAATGTAACTTTAACAAGAACACACTATTGACAAATTTATTTGGTAATGTAACGATTCGCCACATAACGATTCGACACAGAGTAATAACGATTCGCAACAGTTAAATAACGATTCGCCACGTGTTCAAATACAAATTTTTTTCACATCTGTTTTCAAACTGTTGATGGAAAACTTTTTTCCATTTTATATTTCATTTGTTAATTACATAAATTAATTACACTAAATAGTAAATACACATTTTATTGAATAAAAACACACGAAAACCAAATATTTTATTAACAAAATTACATAACACATTTTATAACTTCGTTATTTATATAAACTGGAAAAATATACGTGTACGTATATTTAGTTTGTCTTGTAATTTGTCTTTGAATTTCTGAATATATTTAAATGCCATTATGTTTGTAATGTTTTGTACACGGACAATCTTTAAATATGACATTTTTTAAATGGATAAGTCATGCCTTCTTTTCTAGTAGATGTTTCCATTGCCTACTTAAGTTATAGCCATACCTACAATTAGAAGAACTTCTTACGAATACAAACAGAACGTGTAAAGCGCATTACAACATAAATATTACTATTGCGAACTTTTGGAAGGAATTTGAATTTGACCATCTTTTGAATTTCATGAAAAAAAATCTTGAAAGATTTTTCCAGCATTCTAAAGGATTTGAAAGTTAACTAATCCCGTTTGCGTCTACAGCTTTCTTTTTCTAGACATTGAATCAATTTGAAGGTATTAAATTGTAATAGCTAGTTATAAAAATAGATAAAAAAAATGTCTACAAATTTATGTGGGTATTTTATCTTTATTTATTTATATTATTGTTTTAATGTCATTTAATAATGTACTGGAAATAAAATTTCAAATGTCATAGATGCATATGGTCTACGAAATAAATGTGGTCTCAAAGACTACTAAACAATGGATAATTAGCCAAAACATTTTTGGCAGCCTTTCTGTTTTATGTGACATAAATCAATTCTATTTTATGTATGTTTTTAAGCTATTTAAACCCTCTTAATCGGCATATATCGGCTCGCTCAAATTAATTTGTAAACAAACATAAGCTTAATTGCCGCACTGTTTTGAAATCTGAATACATTGTCAGATAATTAAAGGATTATTTTGGCGTCAATTAAATATTTCTACAACAATCCTAAGGTGAGTGGCTTGTTTAAATTAAAGGTGTGACAAATGTTTTACATATGCGTTCTTTAATCAATTATCGTAAATCAATTTTCGTATGAACACATGTTTTTGCAATACTTTGTTTAAATATTTGACATATATTATAATATATGAACTATATATTTATATATAAATATTAATTGACATATAATTATGTTTATAAGTAATTCAATAATTATTTCAACATATAATTCCTTTCTTGTTAATGTACTCCTGTAATAATGTTACTTTGATAAATTGAAAATCCGCGATGGGGGCCTTAACTTCATATTACTTGTATTAAGAAACATTATTAAATTATTGTCATTGTCAAAATATTAAAACAAAAGGAAAAGTTTGTTGATTACTAAAAATCATCGTTATAATCATACTGTGGCGAATCGTTATTTAACTGTTGCGAATCGTTATTACTCTGTGGCGAATCGTTAGTGTGGCGAATCGTTTCTTATTCATTTATTTTTATCTACAATAATTAACCGGTACTGGAAACATAACATTTATTTGATTATTTTTATGGCAAAAGTACAAAAGCGAAAGTTGATGACAAACCATTGTAATTGTAAACAATCAGTAGGAGGCGCATTTTGAAAAATATCACAAGATTTGTGTAAATAGATCCATACTAGTTACTACAATGGGTTGGTAAGTTGAAGGGAGAAGCTTACGCCAATTTTAATCAAAGCTATCATGAAATACCTGCAATGACAATTAAATATGCACTCTCAAATGCAATAATTATCGAAAGATTTAACTTAACACGTAAGACATACATGTGATAAGTTAGTGATTCCAAGCAGAAAGCAAATCGAATCCAAAATATTTGATTTTCCGCTCCCATTCAAGCCGGTTATAGCAATTAAAAAGTTGATCAAACCCATAAATTTCTGTTCTCTGGGCATACGACTTAAAGCCGTCGATTACCATAGACTTTATATACATTGCTGGTTATAAATGAGTCTAGATCATTCTAAAAAAACACCAAAATTATCTATTTTTGTTTAAAATTGAATTTTGCGCTTAAATTTGTTATTTGTCAATGCGCATGTCCGTGTCAAGGCCACTAATTAACCCAACGGAAAATACATAAGAAAAATAAAAATAAATACATAAAAGTTATTATAATATACGAAAAGATTGTTTGTCTGTTATGATTTCCACTGACATACAATGTTGAAGGAGGGATTGTAAATTTAAAATATAAAAGACGGACCTGTATAACTTTACAGATGTCAACACACGCTTACAAATATATAACTTGTGACAGGCAGTGGTTCTCAGACTACAGTAGCAAATGAAAGAAAACCAAGACAAAAATAATGGATATAAAACAGAGTACAGTAACATAACATATGTTTTAATCTGGACCATTATACTACTGATTGTTATAATGAAGTAAAACTATTTGCTGTTACATTTGATTTTTATTATATTTTGACATCCAGATAATTAATATATGTAAGAAAGCATCTAGACAATTTAATACATTGAAAAGAATAGGAAAAATATCTGTGTAAATTAGATAAATTAAATATATATATATTTTGTACTATTTAAATTCATGTATTGTTCCATTACTTTCGGGAGGAAGTTTACATCAAAAAGATGGAAAATAAATCAAGAAAGAACTTTGCTGGTTACAGATTATGAATATCCTTTATTCAAAATTAAAATTCCAACACTTGAGGGAAAGCACAAAAATAGCTACTTAGTACGTACAAGGGCAAATATACCTAAAAGATATTGTTACCTATAAAATATAATACTTTTGTCTTCAGATTCTCAATATGCTAGCAAACATCCCCAGGAAAGACTACACGCATTTATATAAATTCGTTTATGTTTTATTAGTAACAATCACCAATTTCTATTAGGTATGTATTTCAAGCTTATACTGCAACGTTAATAAACTGTTCCATATGTCTGGAATTTACAACTGTATATTTCTTTGACCTTATGACTGCACAATAACAACAGGAGGCGCGCAAATTGTAAACTTTCACATGGGAAGGGAGATGGCTTGGTTTGATTAATTGTCATGAATCACGCAAAACCCTTTCACTTATTGAAATGCGCGCGATTGAAAACTTCTATACATTATCATTTTCTTTGGAATTGGAATAACATTTGTAGTTAAATACTGCAATACTTATATTGGTTTTTGTTGTCTAACTTTGTGCCATCTATTATAACATTTGCTACATTTGTTTTCTATATGAAAGCGTATTTGAAGTTTTGGGTTATTCTTTTGATAATATCATAATCTATTTTTAGACAATAAAGACGTCTGGCTCTGCCAGACATTATCAATCAAAGTTTTGTGTTTGTATTAACTCTACTGTTATGACACAAATTAACAAGGAGGAATATGTACCGTGGTAATAGTAAAACATAAAATAATCTTTCAATGCACTTAATGCATTTTATTGCAGAATCATCATTTTATCGTTTAACGTTATTCATACTAGAACAGCAATTGTTTCATTAAGGTCTGTCAATTGATCTGACACAGTGTAGTTGTCGAACGCTTTTGCGGGTTCCCTACAAGCAATGTAGCGGTATGAGCTTTGTCTGAACACGTTATATCATGCAACACAGATTCGACACAGCAATAATATGTCGATGCAAATGCGTCAATGGCAAAATAGGGCGATAAATGTACACTTGACACATGATTTCACTTCGGCTAGGTTTGCATTGTTTATGTTAGGAAATGTTTTACCTCCTTCAGATTAATGAAAACAGTTTCTGTCTGATTAAGCATTTTCGCGAGAAAAAAAAGAGTTTTTTTGTTCAGCTTAAGTTTTAATGAAACGTCGACTTGGAAGTAGAAAATAAAGTGGGTTCCTTATAAATCACCTGATTAAATGGAAAGTTAAACAGGTAGAAGGTTTTCAGACGTCATTTCGACCTGTTGTCCATAAGTAATTTAGAAGTTGTAGCTCGGCCTATAATAAAATGCTACAACAAATGTTGGAACTTAGTGACTTTCGCTTTCAGATTGTTTTTCATTTATTTGAAATGAGCCGTGTCACGACAAAACCAATATCGTGGGTTTGCGACCAGCATGAATTCAGACCAGCCTGCGCATCCGCGCAGTCTGATCAGGATCCATGCTGTTCGCTATCAGTTTCTCTACTTGTAATAGAGTTGGTAAGCGAACAGCATGGATCCTGATCAGACTGCGCGGACGCGCAGGCTGGTCTGGATCCATTCTGGTCGCAAACCCACTATGTTGGTTTTGTCGTGACACGGCTCAAATTGTCTTTCCGACAGACAGGGTCATTTCTAACGCAAGCGTCACGGTTATGTAACTTTCGTAGAATCCTTATAAATAACCTTACATGCTATGCTTTTTGTTTTCATTTAGTGCTTTTGAATTCCTGAAATAAGTAAGTAAAAGACCCCAGTGACATGATCATTTTTAATTATTGGGACATGATCTATATCACTTTTTTGAAGGTCCACTAGGCATAGCTTTATACCAGTATAATTAAAGATCGGCGAATTTCTGACCTGAAAAAGATCATTAAACTCTTTCATATATTTAAACAACAAAAACAACAACAAAAACTGGCACCTAGAGTATAAGTTTTTCAATTTAATTATTTTAGAAGAGGGCAACCAGATAATGCTTAATAACACTACTAGTATTTGAGCCAATGATGGCCGTACGGTGTCATTTTCGACCTCAGGGAAATGATTAATAATTTATCTGAAGACAACCAGAAAATCCAAATTTTCGTTTAAAACATAAAAACTTATTTATTTTCTTAAGAATACATGTAAGAGAAAAATATCTTATGGAATAGTAGAGATATGCTTTATATAACTTTTATTGAGGGCCGCGAGACTTTCATACTGCCAAATATCTAAGCTATTGTCACTGAAGTTTCTGATAGGAAGTTTTAAAGATAACATTGATAATTTGATATCATACATTTTAGATATCTATCATCAACCTCGAGCAACATATGAGCCGTGTCACGACAAAACCAACATAATGGGTTTGCGACCAGCATGGATCCAGACCAGCCTGCGCATCCGCGCAGTCTGATCAGGATCCATGCTGTTCGCTATCAGTTTCTCGACTTGTAAAAGGGTTGGTAAGCGAACAGCATGGATCCTGATCAGACTGCGCGGACGCGCAGGCTGGTCTGGATCCATGCTGGTCGCAAACCCATTATGTTGGTTTTGTCGTGACACGGCTCATATATGTTTCGGATCTCATTATCTTTGATTGTGAAGATATTGTAAGTTAAAGTCAGTATATTTCTCAACAGCGGTTGTGAAATCCAGAATTTAGCCTCAAATATGACTGGTTTGCTATAAAATATATAGTCAGAATTAAAGTGGACTGACACCTATTTCTTAAGAATTGGTAATATTTAGTTCACACAATATTTTATTTCTATTTATACAACATAAATATATATACAGTAAGCATATACAATCACACTGATATATTTCGTGGATTGGAAAACAAGTCAAATGTGACTTATGAAAATTCATTTCCACACATAAGGTACTTGCAATAAAAAATGCACATATTTGGAAAGAATAATACAGAAAAAAGGAAACTAGATAAATAATTAAAATGAATAAATTTGTTAGAACATTAATTATTATCTAGAGTAGTAGAATAAGAAAACTTCAGTTTCAAGATTATTTCATAATATTGGGAGATTACTCCAAACAGTTTCTATTACAAAGTATAATATTGTTTTTAACTAGTATTCAATTCAAGTTTTTTTGTAGATGATTTTGTTTAGAATGTTTCGAAGAAAAAAAAAATAAAAAAATATCTAAATAAAGTTTTGAATTAAGATAAAGAATAGGGAATATATGTCTGCACACAATATTATCGGGAAATGATGGACAGAAAAAAGTTGATATTAGTTAGTTAGTTGGTTATATTTAAAATAACATTAAGAAATTACAAAGTACCGGTTAAACTAGGTTACCATGACCAAGCATCTTTTTTTTAAAGATATTGAAACATTGAAGTTTATATTCAAGGTTTCGAATAAAACAATCTATCGATTTTTTTACAAATATCTCATTTAGTTTTATTTGACGAATTATTTTACATTGTTCAGCAAAACAAAATATTTGAACAGTGCGAAGTACTTTGATTTCCAATCTTCATCTAATATGATGAATTTAAAAACGATTATACACACATTAAAGTCAAGTACAATTTCTTTCTGGTTAGATAACAAACCGAAATCTTCCACTGAAAATGTAGCATTGTTCGTCCATGAAAGTGTCACATTAAACAGTATTTACAAACGTATTGTTTATTATGTCAGTTGCTGGACAGATATGACATTTGAAGATAGTCTGTCATCATCTATCATAATATCACTAGCGGAAGTAGCTGAAAATACACAAAAGTATAATTTTAGAAACAAGTTAACATTAACATTTCATTCCTTTTTTTGGGTTGTGTTTTTTTTACGCCGCACCAACAGAGTATAGGACATATGACGACTTTCTAGCTTTTCTGGTGGAAGAAGACCTAAGTTGCCCCTCTGTTTTTTATTTACATTTCCCATAGAATTTAGAAACTATCGCTGCCATAGGTTCAAATTGTATAGCATCAGCAAGAAGGCAGAAGATACAATTAAAGGAACATATACCATGTAAACGTCAATTCATAATTCTTTTATAATAATGACAACAATAATTATGACAATTTACTGCTTCTGCTACCGCTGCTGATGATACTGATAAAGTGAAGACAACTAGATGGTTGCAAACTTTATAGCATACGAGAACAATGACATCTACATATATACTGGTAATTGTTCGTGAAACTCTAATTACTTTCATAGCTACACTTTCGATCATACCGTTTCTTTGATTCACGCAAATAAACGTGTTAAAAACTTTGATGATTGATATAAAGAGACTTATTTTTCAAGTTCTGTCGTTTTTTTATCTTTACAATGCTATAAATGTCAAATGCAGCGATGTATAACAAAACTGCATGTAGCTAAATTTGAGTGATGAAAGGTTGTGCAGTAAGATTTGATAATTAGTATGCACGCCACACAAACAGGCAAACGCATATATAAATCTGATATACTAAACACACACAAAAGGTGTCATATCTATACTATTACCATAATCTAAGCTATATTTAGGATTTCGCTCATTTAACCATAATTTAGGTTAAACGAATAATGTTGTTTACCCTTACCATAATTTAAGCTACATAAATAATGCCACATTTTAAGTTACATTAAAGGCTGAATCAATGATATCTTTACTCTTACCAGTGTTACCATCTCCTATTAAATGACTTCCTCCGTTCACCAGGTATTGTATTTCTTCCATTTGTGATGCTAGATCTAGTTTGTGGGTCCGTGTATGAATAATACCTATTTCCAACAAAAAATCCCCCAGGATAAGGCTCATGAGCTCTACCACCTCTTGGGTAACTCGTACGGGGTCTTACTTCTTTCGGATAAATTATACCATTACGTACTCCCTTATGACCAACCTCACCAGTTATGGACATTCTAGGATAGCCATCAAGCACACCGGGTCTCCTAATGCTTTCTCCTCGAATTCTTAATTCTCCTCTTGGAATGCCCTTGATTGGTCTTACTCCCCTCCGATGTCTTTCAGAATTGACATCCCAGAACAGCAACACTTCTATAATAACTATAATTATAATAACTTTCATGTCTTTTATTGGTGCTTCAACTGAAAATTAATAAAATAACAGTTGTTACACAAGCAAGCGTTTCATATGAGATTCATGGTTGTGAAAAATAATTAACACTGTCTAAAAAGTTTCTATTTCCATTATTTATTAATGACATAAATCAATTAATGCACTAAGAAATTTAATTAAAGATATATTGATAAAACAAATAAACAAAAGAAGTGCCTACTCACTTTTGTTGTTATGCAGATGATAAACAAATTTGTTATTCTCTTTCAGCCAAAATTTGTCACGTTTGCGAGTTTAACGTTTACTAATCTCATAAAGTGTAAATAAAGTTTCAACAACAATTAATTAGCACGTGGGAATGATTAACAGTAGTATACAGACATACAAACGTGAACGGAGAAACTATAACAAAAACAAATATTAAAGGATATCTCTATCCGTAACAGACTTGCAATCCTAAATTACCATCCAAAATAAACGGTTTGTTGCAAACATATTATATTTGTACTAGTAATTAGTGCAATTCCATTTGCTATATGAATTGCATCGTCATCGGTGAGTAAAATGTAAACAAACCAAACACTAAGGAATTTGACCTATTGCCCGCATCAAATTGTAGAAATCAATAATTGTTTCATACATGCTACATATGTATAACAACATTTGTTTGTGGTTGTTTTTTTAGCCGGGCATTTATTTATCAGCTATTAATGTGCGTACATTACACGACGAAGAACATACATCTGAACTTAGAGAAAGGACACATTATTAGTCTTAGTAGACAAGATCATTTATTTCACACCATGTAATATATAATCAATATACATTTATTCTTTAATATAGATATAATATGCTGTATAGTAAGAATACTAATTAAATTGTAACACACCACTTCTGTGTGACTATACAAATAAGAACAACTTTTAACAAGTTAACATGATTTTAGATCTTAACAATAGCAAACATTTTTAGTTGCTATTAACTTTCCTTGAAATTATTTTTTTAAAGAAGTAAGATTTTGTCACTAGAACTAATTAGCTCATTCCGATAAATTGTACAAGTATAACATTTTAACTATATATCTCCTTGTCAATCAATCATTCCTTTACAAATTTCGTTAAGTAACGTATTTTTAAAGCTATTATGGATAAATTATTTTTACTTTTTAACCACATAATGTACCTGATTTTAGAGACAAGTAGTTTCTCTAGTGTACTTTTCTTTTGTCTCTTATAATTCTTAACTAGAATGGCTGTATACATGTTTTATGACATTGTTTGTATATACTGTGTGTACATAGATGAGACTTAAATAAATAGATAAATAAATAAATAATAAATTTTAAATAGTTTTGCTGATTCTTTTACTTGTTTTGTTGTACCAGTATTTGAATGAATAAATGTTGAATTCTGCTGAGTATGTTACGATATGATTTAAAGGTTCACGACAAATAAATTGTTTGTTTTTATAAGATAATGTCTTTGAAAAAAAAAACACACAAAAAACAAAACACGGTACTGTTGAGATTTGAGGCTGGAATGTTGAGAGGAACGCAGTGACCTTTGAACTCAATAGTAAAAGGGATACTTCTTTAAGGGCGTTAAACGTACTCATCATAGCCGCATTTAATTCAACAATCAAGTTTCGTCCAATAAATAGAATATCATCAAACTATACGCTATAAAAACACTGGAAACCTGTAAACTTTGTCATGAAAAGAACAGTAACTACTAGTAGTGTTATCCTCTTTTATTTGCATTTTTTGTCTTCTTAAAGCAACATCATTTTTGCTCCTACGTGCTTGTCAAAACCACAATAAATATCAGATGATATAGAACTTGTATTTTACACCGAGGCCATATTATTATTGTCTAAGCAATACCATATTGCAAACCAGGTTTGTTTTCAAACGGATCTATCTATTATTTACTGCGTTTATTCATTACACCTAAGGCCTCAACAGATTGTACAACACTAATTAAAGATATTATGCACAGTTTCCATAGAAAAACAACACTTGCATTCAGACCGTAATTCAAAATTGTATGACTCAACAGGTTTCCATCCAGAACGCGTCCCTCCAGATGGATCCCTTGCAGAATTTACACACGTTTATTACTGGAATATGGGTAAATGCTATAATTGCTAAAACGTTTTTCTACTGAGGCCCAAAAGCCTAAAAACATAAAATTTAGATCCTCTGAAATAGATTATCTAAGGTATTTAAAAAAAAAATATGCAGAAGATCATATAGAAATAAACTTAGAAAATAACTGAAAATCGTTTTTTGTGCTATTTATCGCCCGACCTGACTGAAAAAAGTTTCAACGTTTTTCATTTTTTCTTTTTCGCATTTTTAATTGATTATGATTTTCAGGCATATTTTCAATCTTAATTGTACCGAAATAGACTGTATCTTCCTTGGGTGTCAAATATAATCATTCGTAACGCATTATCAAAGATTACACTTTTTATTACATCTAAAACAATGTGGCAGAACTACTTTCAATCCGACTGGATAATTGGGAAACCTGTCATCGTGGGATGTCTGCAGAAAAAGAATTACAAAACAGAACATGTCCCATTCTTACGGTTTACGAATTCATGAAATAGTGACCTTCACATAAAAAGATTTGCTTGTACATCTAAGTCTAAATTAGTACTTCTAAATCCTACCGTCTGTTGGGGGCCTTTAATCATAGTAAAAATCAGATACAATTGCTCGTATTTTCCTTTACAGACGTTAAGAAGACAGTTCTATGGTGGCTGATTTACGCCATGTCGTATTTTTGCTTCTTCGCCTCAAAATGCGAAAATGCGAAAACACGAAGGGACGACAAAGTTGGACTTTGCCGTCTCTTCGTGTTTTCGCTTTTTCGCATTTTCGAGGCAACAAAGCTAAAAATACGACAGAAGGAGGGCGAAAATACGACACATAAAATCTGTCGTATATTCGCATTCCATTTGTCGTATTTTCGTTTTTTCGCATTCAAAATACAAAAATGCGAAAACACAAAGAAATAATACTTTGTCGTCTCTTCGCATTTTCGCCTTTTCGCATAGTTACATTTTCGCATTGTTACATTTTCGCCTTTTCGTATTGTTACATTTTCGCATTGTTGCATTTTCGCATTGTTTCATTTTCGCATTGTTATATGTTCGCATTTTCGCGTTCCGGTTGTACATGCGCATGGAGACTTCAATTCATTATTTAATAGTCCTATATAAGATATGTTGTAGATGTATAATTTAAAAGTATCAGCCCGCTTCTTACACATGTAAAATAATTAAATAATATAAGGGTAAGGCTTTCAGATTGTTTTGAATCAATTAATGCAACAATTATTACAATAAATACAGTAATTTATTCCTATCATCTTTAGATTATCAGTTTATTTTGTTGTATTATATGTGCTTATTTTAGTTCACGGTACTTAACGCAGGGAAACAATAAATGAATGGTACAAAAATGACATAAGCTGTAACGTTTAGGTGTTTTCAGATTGATGTCTCCATGCACATGTGCAACCGGAACGCAAAAATGCGAAAATATAACAATGCAAAAAAAAAAAAACAAAACAAAAAAAACGAAAATGTAACAATGCAAAAATGTAACAATGCGAAAAAGCGAAAATGAAACAATGCGAAAAAGCGATTATACGACAGATTTTATGTGTCGTATTTTCGCCCTCCTTCTGCCGTATTTTCGCTTTGTTGCCTTCAAAATACGAAAAAGCAAAAACATGAAAGGACGTTCTTGTTTTCGCATTTTCGCATTCCATTACTGGCATGGGTGACACAACCTGTATTCAGTTCAGGAAAATATTCGCGTTTAAATCTTAAATGATTTTGTCAGTAATGGAGTAATGAACCAGACGATGACAATCGATGAGAAAACTTGGTGTTTTATTCTTTTAATTATATTTTCTTGTCAGTATTCGAAGATCTGAATATATTGCAAAAAATTGATACAATTCATTTGCATTACACGAGCTTACAAACGTAAAAGAAAATCTGTTGTCCCATGAAAATTGACTTCTTAAGTATTCATATTGTGGTGAAGATTAGCGTTTTCTCGGGATGGTTGATGTTTTCTGAAAATACAAAAATAACAATGAATTGTATATTGTGGTTTTATATCAAAAGTATCTCTTTGTAACATTAGATATTCTTTCTTTATGATAAAGGAATACATGTATTTTAATAAATAATGTTATAGTTATTTGATTGGTTAAAATTATTTTTTACTATGTTAATTTGAATCATATACCCTTTTTATAGCCTTTGCTTTATTCTTACATTCTAAACTTTATAAGAGTTTAAATATTACAATACATTTTATAATATTATACTATATGAAACATCATAAAAATCTCGACATGTGAAAATCAGCAGTGAAAACAATAACTAAGACTTAGGAGTTTAAAATTATAAATTCAGTTTTATTGGATATAATGGAAAGTGAAATGAAAAAGTTTAATAGATTATACATGTATATCTCAAATTATCAAAAGTAAAGAAATAGTTCCGAAGATCAAAAAGATCGATTTCACAACAAATACAGAAGATAGATTTCAAAACAAATACATGTATACAATTATGAAACATATTCCACAATTAATTAAAGTTAATGATGATTTCATTTTCAATATAAATTCCCTAGTAAATAACATGAAAACGGACAAAGTTACTTACAGTTATTATAGTCATTATTATTATAGTAGTTGCCACCACCAGGGAAACCTCGACCATACCCAGGTCCATAAAAACTTCTTCTCCTTCTAAATCTATAAGGAAGATAGTTTCTTCTTAAATAGCGCCGCACACGTCTTGACAGTCTTCTAGATCTCCTACCTCCTCCATAAAACCCTCCGCCATAACCATAGCCATAATCTAGATCAAACGGTCTAAATCGACTACCATAAGATCCTCTAGATCCCAAAGATCTGCCATAAAATCCGTCATCACCACCAAAACCAAATCCATATCTGTCTCCATAGAAATCTCCGAATCTTCGAGATCTCCCATAGAATCCGTCATCATCACCATAACCAAAGCCAATGCCATATCCTCTATATCTGCTTCCATAGAAACCTCTAGATCTTCGCGATCTTCCGTAAAATCCATCGTTGTCGTCAAAGTCATTGTCCCTGCCATAGCCTCTGTACCCGCCACCAGGAAATCCTCTATATCCTAAAGACCTTCCATAAAATCCACCTCTGTCACCATATCCGTCAAAGATACCAAATCGGCCGAAACCTCTTCCACGATTGTCATTATTATCAAAATCATTATCGTTCCCAAAGCGACCGAAGTATCCGTTCTGGCATTTTATAACAGGAAGCACAATCAATAAGACACTGATAGCAAGATAAATCTGCATTTTTTAAAAACTGTTGAGATACACTGTCGTCCTTATCTATACCAAATATAAGTAATAAAGTTATTAATACCACATATATACTTAAACATAGATACAGTATCAAATCAGTAATTCTCTGACATTTTTCTGAACATATGTTTTACATTACATAAAAATCTGTTAAATTAATTAAGTGCGCGATGTTCAATTTGGAAGAAAACGACAAATAACTGCACACCTTTTCTTTTTTTTTTTACTAATTTCTAAAATTTGTTTTTGAAACTATAAATAAGAGTTAATATGCCCTACCTTGCCATACTTAAAGAAAAGTGATGTAAAACTGTGACAATAGATTAAATTGACAGCATCTGTCAGTTTAAAGAGCAGAACGACAAATGGGAACGAAACTTTCATCACAATATATCACGCATTCAATAACCATAAATCTTGTTAATATAACTTCAAAGTAAGCGTTAAATTTATAACACCTTAAAAGTACTTTTTTCATCAACATACATATTAAAAATTCTAGACATGGACCTTGTTAGAAGGAAATCATTTATGTATTATGCATCATATTTTTATGTTTTAAGAATTAATTACTGACGAATTGTTAAATTGTCGTACACATTTAGAGTTAATGAGAGACCAAAAAAACAAAAACAAAAAACCAAAAAAAACAACAAAAAAACAAACAAACAAACAAAACGTTCTAATAACCTTGTAAGCGAAGCAATCCGGATTTTTTTGTTTTGAAGTTGAAAAAGACACTCTAATAACATTGTTAGCGGAACAATTCGTATTTTTGTATTGAAGTTGAAAAAGACGTTCTAATAACTTTGTTAGAGGAGCAATTCAAATCTTTTTTATTCGTAATACTAAAACTTTCTAAATAAGAAATAACGACGTTGATTTTATCCGACACATTTAATGAAGACTTACTTCAAAGTTTATAGCTATATAAATTAATATTTGCAGAAGACTTGTGAAAAAAATGGTATATAATAAAACAAGACAACATAAATACCTAAAGCAAGACATTTAGAATACAAGTCTAAATCATTTTTTATTTTGAATGTGTGGTTGTAGGGTATTGTTTGGGGGGGGGGGGGGGAAGGATAGGTTTGGAGAAAAACGGAGAAAACGATCACATGAGTATATCAATTTAAAAAGTTCGTTTCAGTCTAAATTTATAAAGTTATTAATTTGGCACGTGGTGCAATAAATAACAGAACGTGAAAATACTTTGATATATAGCCGTCATATCTTACAAAAGCCATTTTCAACAGGGATGCTTTGGACCATCATGCTCCACCGGTTCCAGTACTTTTAGTGCTTTGAATTATGAACAAACATGTACTAACCATAGTTTGTTTTATTTGACACGTCCTCTAGACTATGTGACATGTAATGTTGTATTATATATAATTATATATATTTGCAGTTACAATACAAGTTTAAGTTTGTTCTTTATTGTGAATGTGTAGTTATGGGGGTAGGGCAGAAGAAGAACGGAGTAAACGATCACAGGAGTATTGAACTAAATATAATGTGTTGTTTACAAGTATCAAATAAAATGTCTGTTCTCTTTATTTGTCACGTTACTTTGATCAGCTTGTTCCTATACAGATTTCGAGATCGCTAAAGTATATTTAAATTGTGTAAAAGTTGGTAATTCATTGACCTTTATATAATTTCCCTAGTTTCAGTTTTTAAAATGAGTTATATCTATTTAGTTATGTATTTATTCATTCATAGAGACTTAAATTGAACATATTTAAACAAAAATAAGATTACGATGACATTGACTGTGAAAAAATTCTTTTCCCTATCGATCAAACCAAGCAAGCATAAAGTTTATATACTCCTTAAAATAACGCTTCATCTTATTTAACAAGGGCATTGGTATCATTTATTCAAAACTATATCTTTATACTCACATAGTTACCGAAAACATAAAATAAAAACTGATCTTTAAAAAAGACTTACAGCTTCCCCCACGTTAAAGCATTTTTTTCAAGTATTTAGGTCGTAGCAGAATAAAAATCATATAATATCTTAATATGATTGAATGAATGTTGATATCAATCAAATGTCATATGCACTCATGGCAGTGAAACAAAAACTACAAGAAAAAAAATCAGAACGAGAAAAAATGCCCATTACCGCTGTAAACCATAATATCATAAATTTGGATGCACTATACGCGAAAAGCATGCGCATCGTCGAACAGAGTTCTCGTGAACAAAATGATGATATATAAAGAATGACAACGGCATCTTTTGTAATTGTAAATAACTAAAATAAGGCTATTACTCATGTCCTGTTTCCACATGGTTAGATGATTCCTGGTATGATCTCGGACATTGTTTTTACTTTTGGCTTATTGAAACAAAGCACTTACGATGTGTGTGTTTTTTAGATATTGACTCAATCATCCAAAAAGGTTATCTGCTCGTTTAAGCCCATTATTTCAAGTTGCAAAGAATATATTTCATAATCCACACAGATTTAGACCAGGACTGACAAAAACACAGCAATAAAACAAACAACAACAACAGCAGCAGCAGCAACAACAACAACAACAACAACAAAACGCTAGAAATAGTCATATGTTCTTACAAAGCTAAATTATGATAGAATTAACAACCCCAAATTGTCATATCATTTTTGCAAAGACAGACAGAGAGACGGTCAGACAGCATGACAGACAGCCGGGTAGACAATCAGAGAAACAGCAAGATATACCAATAAAAGGACACGGTTAACGGATAGACAAATACCAGTTAAACGGACGGGCACTTGGATAATAATTTGTTGCAAGACGGATAAGAAACCTTAATATTTTTGTATCGGAACATTATATCTTGTCGCCATGCTTGTTTATACATTGAAAAATGCATTTTGTCCTTGCACTAGATAATTTAGGAACTCTATCCGGCAAAAAGTAACATCAAAATTTTGAAGGACGATTCGGTGAAAAGCGTCTTACAGAGATCCTCGATGAGCTCTTTCCGGCAACAAGTACGATATTGCACTTATTGGTGTTCTGTGCGAAAGAATCCCTATAGGGCGTAACAATGCACCTCGGATTTCTTGAGTGGAAATTCCTTTTTGTCAGACATTGCATTTGCTGTCGAAAATTCAACCTTAACAAACTGACAAAAGTTTGATTGGAATGCTATCATAAAAAGCGACACTTTGAAAAAAAAGAGTTTCAAATTGAAATCACTTGGCTCGTCCATACTATGAAATGTTACATTCAAATGTACATCTAGCATAAAAGACTTGCGAGGAAACTTTCTAAATATGCAGATTAATTAAAGAATGTCAGTAGCTCTTACATCAGAAACACTTAATCTTCTTCCACCCGGTAAAAAAATTAAAATGTCACTAAATTTAATAATATTCAATCTGAAGTAGAAGCCAACTCATAAGATCTATCATTTAAAAAAAGTAATATATAAAGACTTTTAGATTATTACTAGTCTAGCCGTACAAGCTCAATCTCCTTGTAGAATAACGTTGCAAGATTGTCTTCTTTAATCTGCAATTTCAATGAAGTCTGTCACGGTTATTGATTAACCTAATCCCATCAAAATGCTTAAATTTGCCACCTTGAGAAATATAAACAAAGTCGCCACATCTTAAGTACATTACTACAATACCACAATCATATCAAGAGTTGTTGATTAAGGTGACAACGGAGTCAATTATCACTGAAAATACCTAAAATGAGATTTTTTGCTAAGAAGATTTATCAACCTTTTCTGAACACATTCGTGATTTAATTTTGGAAGCAGTTAGACCAAAAAATGTGTTTTTAAACGTTTTAAAACGTTACCTATACTATTTGTATCTGCTATTCGCCTAACCTGTCGATTATCGATAACGCTCCGCCCCCTGTTGAGGCATCAATGAGGGAAATCGGTAGTTCCATATATCCGTGAATTACAGGTCCATACTGGTCCATACTTCTCGTAATACATGTATCGTACAACTACCGTACATCTTTTATGAATATCTAAACATTTAGCCTTTTTTATAAATTAAGAAAGTGTCGGCCAATGTACGTAACATAATGTATTGAACATAAATAATTAAGCATAGCGGCAAATCGCACGACCACGGGGTCGATTAAAAATGTAGTTGCTAAAATATCCATAATGTGTGAAAATAATTTGTCTGTCCCGTTAATCTGATATATATTACATTGAGTTGATAGACTTTTGTACAGATTCAAGGGCTTACTTTACATTCAACCTCGTTTTCTAACAATGTGAAGTAAAACAACAACAAAAACAGACAACATTTTTTATGTGAACGCCTATATATGACTTGTGGTAAGGTGTCCCTGACAAATTTCTAAACCATTTTAGATTGTCTAAGGATGATTATTTCTCTATAAAAAAAAGATGTTAAAATATATTCTCAGTGAAAATAAATTGTTCGCCAGTAAATCGGACACAGTACTAATAAATCTGGGACAAAGTATGAAATTTATTGTCTATCCCGGTAGAAACTGGATCTCTATGCCGTGCATAGATGATATTCAAAATAGAAGTCAAGAAGGCCAGATCATAATGATCGAGTAATACCTTTTATTTCTATTAAAATATGTGAAGCATCATCAATTTGGTGGAAAAAATATATAATATCCCGTTCTTATTTGTACATTTACCATGGACTTTAATAGACTGTCAGAAGCTCAGTTTTTTGTTATTTTATTTTATATTTTAACGGAATTTCATACACGAATACACAGGCAGAGTGACACTGGTATAATACAATAATAATGCTGATGATACTAATTACATTATATTATTGAGAAATTGTACTAATCAGGGTATTTATAAGCCTGATTTTATGGTTAGTAATATTTTAATACTTTTAATCATTAGACAAGGGTAATTGTAAACTCTCGAGGTAGTTAATAATTAGTAACTGATCGTTTTTATTTTTAGGCAAAGACATTATATGTAAAGTCACTTAAATGTGAATAATGTTTTATTTTACTTGTATAGGTTTTTATCTTTCCAATGATGCGAAATAATTTTATTTACATGATTTTATAGTTTAAGAATCTATTGCTATTCAGTGTAATTTTACGGGTTTAAGGAAGAGAACATTTTAAGGACTTTTACTGTAAAGCAAAAATTACCAGAAACATTTTAAGTATTTTAGAACAAGATTAGCAATAGTTTCTTATTTTATCAATTTTAAATTGTAACATGCATATGGATATGGAATGAGAAGAGAGGTAACTCTGTAAGTAACATTGGACATTCTTGCAGAGTTGCCTCCCTTCCATTAGATTAAAATTTTTTATTGGTTCTTTTTGGTTTAAGTTTCAATTTAAACTGGGCCTAGCCTCCAGGTCACATGAAATGGTACTGCTATAAAGTACACATCTTTTGTTAAGTATTTAGGTGCAAACCTGGATCAAATTCTTTTGGCGTCGCCCTTTGATGCTTTGCATCAATGCTTTTCTTGTAGTCTCTTGTAATTCTGATAAGAATGGCCGTACATAAATAACTTTTACTTTGTAAAATTATGTCATTGAATTGTTTTATATTATGTATGGATGAGACTCAAATAAAGAATATATATATACTAATAATAAACTTCAAAAAGGAAACAATTTAATTAATACCCCGCTAGCGGTGCGCAAATGCGTTCCATTTCCCCCACTGAGTGCCTCAAATTTTACCGATAGTCACGTGACATGTGCGACAGGTACCAGACGGATCGTAAATCACGTTAAGAATTGAAGAAATTTCGGCTATAAACTGATATTAATCAGCAGCTTTTTAATTGGTCAGATGCCACTGGGTCATAAAATGTTGTTAGAGTATGTTACCACAACTTGTGACCCTCTCTGGTGCGATATTTGTGTATTATGCAATTATTTAGCGTGAAACGTAGGGGTCCGAGAGAGAACAGCCGATTTATGACACTTCGTTTGATGCGGGTCGGACTAACTTTGAATCGGCATAACTTTTTTAATAATCAAGCAATTAACATGCGGTTTAAAGCACATGAAAGGAAATTCATTTACGGAGGGAACCGTGTCAGGGATTTTTGTTTGCTTAATCAGCGACTTAATTATCTTTAATTACGTAATATGTATGGTGAAAAAAGCCGCATAAAATGTTTGACGTTACGTAATATTTGTTTGAGAAAAGATAGAAAAAAATTGAGACACGGTTCCCCAGATAATATAAGTATGGTTATTTTCCAAAAGTTTGATGACAAAAAAATAAAAAATGACTTTGATATGACGTTTTAAAATTTTAGGATTTTTATTCAAAATCAATCATTTACAAAGGCATTTTTTTCAAATATGTTATTTTTTATGATGATCAACGACATTTAATGCACAAAGATTAAATAAATAACAATTATTACTAAAATAACTTGGTTTAAATGACATATATGTGAGTACCACGGAAAGTGTCTGTTGTCACCTTAAAAAATACTTTTGAAAACATGTCAATTGCAGGGTTAAAAGTTTATCATATGCATCATATGACCATATTAGTTTCATACTTTTCAAATCATGCCATATACACACGTGTAGGCCTACAGTGAAATGGCAAATATGAAAACATTTAGAATGTCATTTTCTTGAAAATGAAATCAAAATGTGCAATGCGAAATTTATATTTATAACACTACACTTATGATTTTAGACAAATATTTGTGTTTATTTTGATATTAATATGAATACAAATATAAAACAATAGAAATATTTAATCTGTATATTCGTTTATAAAATATTGCTTGAAAGAAAATGTTGGTAACGTTTTAAGTGATTTAGTATGCACATTTATGTGATGAATAATAACAACTAGTTATAGAGCATTCTATTACCTGCAATAAAAATATATGTAATATCAAATCATGTATATCACATTTACCAACAATATCCATACAAAATTATTTCATGGTTTGGTAGCAGCGCTTTCGGTGTTATGTATGATACTTAACGCTATCAACATAATTATTTATTGTATGACAGAACATCCATTGTAGACAAATTCACTTTAATAATAGATAGTTTACTGTATCATCAATGTTACAACATAAAATATCACAGTATACAAGTCTACGCCCAATTAAACATTACAAGTATATACAGAGTTATAACAGACATTCAATATGATAAACAAGATCAACAAGGAAAGGTGGCGTTCAATGAACGCTTCCCCAATATGACCCAGCACCAAGAACCAATGGCAAGGAGCCCAGGCGGACCCCAAACAAAAAACAGGACAGGGCAAAGACAGAGCACGGACAGGTTAATCATTAAATGATAATTAATTTCAAGTCATATTAACATGTAATTTTTCAAGCAACATGCTTTAAATGATAAAATATAGATTCCCCTATTAACTATCATAGTAATTTGATAATAAAACAAAAATGTTACTTAGAATATGGTACATTTGCATTATGATAAATATGTTAAAAGAAAATAACAGCTATGGATGAGCTACGTCATAAGACATTACATTACATTATTACTGTCAGTAGTGATACTCTATACAGAAATAAAAAGTTTTGTTCAATAAAATTAACTTTTATCTGTTCAAAACATGTATGAATCTTATTTTATCTATAATTATGTAATGTACAACTAGTATTCCACTTTTTACAAAGCATTTTTTTTAAATAAACTGTTTGTTCTAATTTCAAGTACTTCTAAACGGGATTAGGCAGAGAAAATTATAATTTATTCATCAGATAGGAGGAAGCATTGAATGTAAATTTGTACATATAACGCCTTATCTGTAGACGACCAGGGGCTACGCCACATCTAAATTTTATTGAAGCAAATTTGCAAAACAATATTGATATAAAGATATACTATGCTCATTTTTTAGTTAAATATTCTTTTCGCAGAAACATATTATAATCCATGAAATCATTACTGAATATGTTTAATTTGATTAAAAGAGGGTGAAAACTATGTCTAAGAAGCTGCATTTCCTATTACAGCCCAAGTAAAGCTGGTCTTTTCTTTAAAAAAAACTGCCAGTTTTTTTAATGACACTTTATGTATTCAAAATGTGACCACCTAGAGTGCATAGAGTTTAAAACATGGCATACCTACTTTGAATGAAGTCGAAACATGTTCATTTTATATTTACAATGATACTGTGTAGCATTTATCAATATTTCAAACATTAAATTTGAGCATAGTAAATCATGAAAATTCAAATTTAAATTTCTGATACGATCTTGACTATTTGTACCTAGAATAATATGCACTGACAGGACAAATGTATCAAGAAATGCATCCACAGACAATCGCTTCCTTAAATACAGAATAAAAGTTGCAAAACTCAGAATCAAAATAAAATTAAGTGTATGATTTCTCAGTTAGTTTTGAAACGATTGTTGTTTTCATATAAAACTATTTGCAACTTAGAATTAATTTCATTTGCCAACTGTTTTCTTTACTGCGCCAATCACCAATCAGAGCTGAGGCAAGATCAACAAGTGGACTGCCATTCCTTGCTTAATTAGTTTGAGTTAATTTAAAATGTTATTAACTTAATATAAAGTTCAGTATTTTCGAAACAAATTATTTGCAAGACAAGTGAGACATATCTTTATAGAAAATAACTAATACAGTGTTAATTTCAGTAAACAAGTGATCATTGAGCAGTACTCAAGCCGTTATAATTTTTATACAGAACAATTTATTAAATAAGTTACTTGCCATTTGTGTTTAAAAATAAGAAAGCATCATCCTTGTAAGATTTGTTCCGTAATTTAGACAACAATAATTTCCTTACTTTGTTTACATAATTTCTTATAGTATTCCATTCATTTTCCCTTACTAACATAGATTGCCTTTTGGAAGATATAACGAAGATTTTTTCATTCCATGATGTAATTAAACAGTCTGCGTCTATATAGGCCTGAAATCTTAATGATAGAACATCTTCCCTTTTTGGCGTCAGTCTTTCAAGTAAATCATCAATAAAAACTTCAGTCACCGCAACATCTAAGAATAAATTATTTTGTTTACACCTTTTTTGTTTCCGCCTTTTCTTGAATATCGTTTCTCCGTCTCGTTTTAAACGAATTTTATCGCCAGCTTCTTGTTTCGGTCGATTTTGATTTTTTTTAATCCTTGGAATTGGACAAACATTCCAACGTTTACCTGTCGATTTGCACTTCATAGTTAGCTTGTTTACTGAACGGGGTTGTCTGTGGCACTGACGGTTGTCATTCTCTGAAAAACTTAACGGTTTACTTAAAAGCTCACTGCTTTCAGGCTTTGATATACTTTCAGGTAAACCTTCATCACATGTATGATTTGATACATTTAAGAATGATGTTATACCGTTATTAGTTGATTGCAGAGAACCATAACCAGAGCTGAAAACAACACGGCCAGCCGTTAAAGAACTGGACGTAACGTCATGTTTTATGTATTTTACTTTAGAGTCATCATGGCATGTTCTCCGTCGTATATTCCGATGACTTTTATATACTCTGTCATTATTTATGTTTGTTACAGAAACATTTTCTTCTATTCTTTCAGAATGCAGTGAAAGATCTCTGATTTGAGATCGTCCTTCTGAATCTTGTATCTGAAATAATTGGGGCTGTTGGAGGAACATTTGCCCAGTTTCCACAGGCCGACAGTCCGAAATGCTGAAATTAATCCAGCTCCTGTTATCTGGCAAATATGGTGGATTCCTATTAAAAGAGATAAAAGTTAATTGGTACCAGGGGGTATCAATTTGAATGTGTGTTATCAAATGAAAGACAAAATCTTTTATGATAGTAAGAATACAACTGAAATCATATTCAATATTTGCTTTATTTATAAATCAAGCGATGAAGTCACTTACACTTTTTGTGTGGTTAATAGGGAAAGTCAGATAAGAATTACCTCATGAATTCTCGAAACTCTTTAAGCTGGGCGTTCCACTCAAGAGTTTCAAACACCTCTTCAATATCCTTCGGCTTTGCAGACGAACCAGCTCCATATCTCCAGCGTTTAAACAATTCAAACAATGTGCTCATTACAGAATTTGTTTCCCGTTTGACTGATTCAATTATATTGTTGACATTCCTGGCCCCTGCGTTTTCTGAAGACATGAACATGTAAAATTGTGTTTGCAAATACATGGGTTAACCTATTACCAAAATTATCTTAAAATATAGACAAATTATCATGGCATAACAATTATACATACTTATTATTTAACATTTTAAACATGTATGTTTATTTCTCCTGTATCACAAAATTGCTATCAAGGACTATTGACGCATCTCTAAGTTGTCCAAACTTTCCTTAAACAGTCGTAAATTCAATATTTATTCAATGTCAAGGCTATATTTTTAAAAAAAGCAGAAACAGATAATTAAGATATAAATGAGGGAGAAGTCTGGTTGCTTACCAAGAAGAATAGTAAAAAATAATTCGTAGATTTTTGGATCTATTTGTTTGATGAGAAAGCAAAATATACGTGACCAGTCCAGTCGTTCTATTTCAAGATTTGTATCTGCAAATAATATGTAAAATATACAATTGCAAAACGTTTGTTATATTTAAATTACCATTTGATTTTTGTTAAATAGGTAATTTACGAGGTATGTTACAAAAGTTCTCGGACTCTTGCTGTCATTTCTTCCTCGGTTCATAAAAGCAAACCGTTAATATAGATCGAAAGGGTGTCTTCATTTCTGATAACTTTACTTTTATCGTAAAATTTCATTTTCTTCACGAACTGTGTGCACGTCAGTAATGACCATAGTAACGCAACATCGGTTCAAGCCGAAATGATTACACAAATTATTAATTTTAAGCAATCTCGTATATAATAGTTTAATATTTTAGTCAACATTGAAACTTGAAAACAGAAGACAATACATGTTGATTTATATACAGTGGTTACCTTCTAAAACGCTAACGCCATTGGAATTCTCAGCTATTGTAGAGCAACCCCCCTGGTCGATATTCTTATTTGGAGATTGCAAAACCGATATTTTCGTCTTAACTACAACACAATTGTCCGCAACCTTCTCTTTAGCAATGAATGAATCGAGTGTTTCAGACTTCTTTTCATATTTGACAGAGACACTAGAATGCGGCGTTTCATCAGGTAAAGTTAAATTCCCTTTGACAACTGGAAATGAGTTACCAGTATGTGTTTCTGTATAGAAATGTAGCAAAATAACAAGTAAGTAATGGAAAACAAATGTAATAGCTAAGAAACATAGAAGCACATCCTCTTTACAAATAGAAGGTTAGAGATTTACATAAAAAGGTTCATTATTGGTAATTAGGTAGATCCAAATAATATGGGAATGTAAAAATAGCATTATTTATTATTATTATTAATAATATATTTAACAATTATCCATCCATTACAACATGCATTAAATAATTAATATTTAAATATCGTTATCAAACGTGCGTTCTTTTTTAACTTAATTACTTATACATCCGGATTCTAAAATGTTTGGCAAACTGCAATGTTCGGTGAGAATTGAACTTTCACTTCCATATCCAGTTGATGTATCATCAATGTCCATTTCCTTTTCATATTGCAAAAGCGTACTTGTTTCGTTATTTTCTTTTGATAAATTTTCTTCTCCCAATACATGCATTTTTACGTGAAACTTGTCGTCTTCTAATATGAAAGCAAGTTTAAGGTTTATATTATTAAACAGTTAAAAAGATAGATAAATATTAAAAATACAAGCAAATTTCTGAGAACACAGCTTATATAGATTGATAGAACAATAACAATATACTTCAAGAGTGGCAATAACGGCTATAAAGGCAATCTTTTTAATCAAATAAAATATTTAGTGGCGGTTTGCCGAGTAGTTAACGCGTCGGACTAATAATCTAAGAGTTTGCTTGCTTACCGTATAGGTGCTAATCACAATGTCTGTATTTATCATAATGATTATGGTAATGAAATAGATAACACAAATACAAATGTGTTAATTTGAATGTCTTACCAATTTCTGGTACTCTTATTATGGTATTCTTTTTCCACACCTTTTTAAAATATCGCCTGAAGAGGAAAACTATTATAGAGAAAATCTTCATCTTCATAGACAATTTACAAAACTACACCCTATTAAAAGATATGAGAAACAACAAACGTCTTACTAAATGTGACAGAGAACTGGCTATCTGCCTCCTTTTTCGGCTTTTCCCGCTTAATTTCGGAACATCTTGAGATGAATGACAAAGGGTCATTGATTATTTAAATACCTCATGTCAATATAACCAAACAATACATTTATAGATATAAAAGTAAACAATACGTTATTTACATACCTATTATTATGGTTGTAGAAACCATAAGTACAAAATAACTACTTGCTTACATTAATTGTTCAACATTGGGCATTTGGTAATTTAAGTCCAAGGTTATTATTAATAATAGCCGAGATGTTCCGATTGGAATGAAAGCCAATATTTTGTTCTAACGTACGACTCTCAAAACCGAAAATTCACTTTACGTTTCTGCGGATGTCCAACTAATACTCGTACATTCGTAACTCATGAGCAAAGACTACGTTAAAAGTCACGTGGTAGCTGTATGTTTCCCGTATCAAATAATCATAGATAAACAAAACCTTTCTTATTTAAGGTATATAAAACGAACTAACGGCATTGACTTTAATATATACGTTCACACTGTTGAATTAAATTTGTTATTATATCTAAGAACAATCTGGTACTTTGTGCAAAGTATTTACGCTTTCATTTTAAATCACATACATACTTTTACAAACAATTAAGAAAAAATATAAGATGATACTTACAGTCCGATATAAAGTAAAACACTAACCAAAACACCCGCCAACACAATTAAAGCTGTAACCAATATCACAACATGCACAGATACTGAGTCTTGTTTTTCATTCTTTGTTTTGTTTTCATTTCCAACATCGATTTCCGAAACATTGCCAAAGATTCGGGACCACAGATATTGTTGAGTTTGTAACGGGAGAGAAGCAAATAAACCATTTGTGCAATTTTGCACTGAATTCAGCTTGTCATGTAGGCAAAAGTTAAACTGTGTCGTTGGATCGCCAAATATGCCTTCATTGGTCTTGTTCATCATTGTAATAATTATACTATCGATGTAATGTTGTTCTCTGAAAAATGTAGAAAAACCCAAAATCTTAATAATTTTTTAATTATGTAAACTCCGTCTTTTGCCATTCTGTACTTTTCGACGTTACTTTGCCCTTTTTGTCATGGTGCGCATTCTTTATGATTTTCGTTCCCCCACCCCCACCCCATTTTGATTGTCTGACAAAACCAAGAAATAAAGTGAATAATTTGTGAAAGATTCCTAGATTTCATTTTGTAATTTTTAAATGACAAATAAAAAACTCCTCTTATATTCAGTTCTTTTCTATAAATTTTACATGTAGTCAAAATGAAAACAGACCGGCCTTCGGTCGGAATAAAATTGGACGAAAGAAGAATTCTACTCGTATCAATATTTTGAGGAGGTCTTTGTTTTTAATCTGTTTTTTATTCGAGTAAGCGTTATTTCTTTCAAACACTGTATTTAAATGATAGTGTTTTTATTTTTAGTTCGATTTGATGAAAGGATCACTCCCTCACTTTCAAATTATATGCAATGAATGGACTAACAATGTCACTGATAATTTGACCTAGTTTAAATTAAAACGTTATCTATGTGAAATTGTTTCACAAATTATTCACTTTATTTCTTGGTTTTGTAAAAATATACTATGTTCTGATTAATTTGAAGGAAGATATTTTTCAGGACTCAAACATCGCCTGACGCGTCAATAACGCTCGTTGCATTTGCTCTCTGTCATGCTGTGGCGCATATAATGCATATTCTGCAGTATCTGTCATTCATGTAGATTATACAATGATCAGCCCGGCAGGGCGATATAAGTCAACAGTTTTCATACCTATGGCTTGTATTGAAAATGACTTACTATAGCCTTCAGTCAGACCATTTACCTTAAAATATTTTATCTTATGATTAAATGAAGAATTATCAATATCATAATCAAAATGTTCATACTTTGTACATCACTTTGTTATGTTACTGATATCACATGTATATTATTAGTTATAAAGATCGTTGACAGGCTATATTGCCCTATATAAACGGCTATTTGTAAAATATAACCCGAGCCGTTAGGCGAGGGTTATATTGCAAACAGCCGTTTATATACGGCCATATAACCTGTCAACAATCTTTATAACAAATTTATAATACAGCAAGCATCTTTTTCAGAGAAAAAAGTTAGATTTCTTCATGAATCAACAGCAGTCGTGTATATAAAACTATATAAACGTCACGATTATCCAATGAAAAATGACGTTACAAACGTACAGTATTACGGCATTAGTTATACACTTTGCTGACGGGATATATGGGAGAAAATAGTCTGACTGAGATCAATATGACCTGAGGCGCTAGTCGTATATGCCAGCAAGCTTATATTCTTCCGTATATTCCGTCTTAATTTATAATAACGCAAAATATTATTGCAAAGTCATGAGGACAGTTTTTGAATCGAGGAATATACCATGAAGAACAAAACGCAATAATAAATTTTGTGCACACACGTAGTAAATTGTCAATTATGTTGAAAAACATGTTATATTTGTGCATTTCGGTTCTTCGCAATGTATTTGGCATCGTATACAAAGTGTTTAAGGCAATCAATATTCAAGAAGGTTATTTAAATAATTATTAAATTGCGCGCGCATATTTAAGTTTAAATAGGAATGTTGGGCATGATTTCAAACCGACTCATAAACTTACTTTTATTTGCCTACAAAAGTATTAGTATATTTAGCGGCAATGTCAATCTATCACTATTTTTATTTTGAAATATGAAATAATGTATGTTATTTAATGAGTACAATTTGTAGTAATTTATACAATCCATAACAAAATCTTGAAAGCAACGCATATAGTCGTTCTGAACAAAATTGTAAGAGAATATTTCTCAAAGCAACGTCTAGTCATTACTATTCTAATGAATGTAAACAGTTGAAATGTCAAGTTCCATACCGGTATAATAGCAACTTTGAATATTTGATTAACAAAACATTAGTGGGAAAGCATTTTAGAAACAAAAACTTTTGGAATTTGTTCTAGGTTTGACTCATAGCTTAGTTCAATGACTGCACTATTTCATTGAAGGACATCTATATTTAACTATTTATATTTATTTTCCTACCATGATTATATGTCATAATGTACATCACTTCTAATATATCCTCTGCTTATGTAATAATGTACATATGTACTTATTATCTAATTTTGTTTTCTTGGATTTTATCAAAGACTATCCAAAATGTATTCCCTTACGATATAAAATATCTAAATTTTTTATAATGTCACATAATGTTGTAAGCACGGAGCACGAGTCATTCACAGTTGATAGCTGTAACACAACACTTTTAATTCTTGTTAAAACACGAATCGATACATTGATGACTTTTATTATTCGACTCTTTTTGAACACTTTTGGATAAAACAGCGAAAATAGTAATGATAGACTATTTTCCCAGATGATCATATTCAGTTAAAAAAGCTATATTTAGAAAGAAAATAAACGGAAATTCCAAAGTTATAATTAGAAAATTTCATATCATTGAACCTTACGTACATACGTTTATCGGACAGATAGTGTGGTTCTCATTCATGAACTTAAAAAAACTTTAAGTAAATTTTAGTGTTACTTTTGGATATTTTGTATCTAAATAAAATATCACAAATCCAAATAGGCTTGGGTTCACATATTTATTTTATTAAACAGTTCACTGTGTTACTTAGTTGACTACTATAAAGAAAACACTGTATCACTCTGAAAATGTCTCAAACCATTAATATATTATTTCTGCATTCTGCTTCCCCATTTATCAGCAGTCAACTAGAGTAACCAGTTAACAAGTCCGAGTTAACAATTCCAGCAAACTGAAAACATAAACTGTCACTAAATGCCTTTTCACTTAATGTATTGCAGGGTTATCTACCTCTGATTCACAATATAATGTCAAAAACACATTAAATCTTAATGTTCAAAAGTTCACATTTGATACTTATTATTAAGTGATTCTAGTGGCTTTATCTTAACCCTTAATGATGATATTATGAAGTTACATTAAAATATATTACAGTTACATTACATGCATAAAATAAATGGTCAGTTAAAAGTTACAACAACTTTCACATTATAATATACAATTATAATATATAAAGATGACTTACCAATTTGTTGAATTGTATTCCCTAAAAAGTATCAAAACATATAAAAAAAAACATCTAATTTACTTTACTCCAATCAAAATATGATAAACAAGAACCAAAGACCAAAGACCAACAAGTAAAGGCGGTGTTCAATGAATGCAACCACCACATGACCCAGCAACAAGAACCAGTGGCAAGGAGCCCAGGAGGACCCCAAACAAAAGCAGGACAGGACGCAAGGCAGAGCACGGACAGGCTAATCACTAAATGATACATTAGAAGAAATATAGTAACCGACAAGGAAATTAAAATACAAAGAAAATAAATAAATGATTGATTAAAAAGCCCACTAAGTAAAAGGGTACATGAGAAGAGGAAAGGACATTTTTT